GTCTATTACTTAAGGAGTAGTTAACAAATAACAAAATCCGGATACTTTTTGAGCAGAATGAATATAGTATATATATAGCCTCAGAGCAGGAAATAAAGAAATTGAGTATGATTTATATTTCTAATTTTTAAAACAATGTTTTACGCAAAAGTTTAATATCGCTTCATGTAGAAGAGAATGGAAATATAGACGAGAATGGAAGTATAGAAGAGAATGGAAATATAGAAGAGAACGGAAATGTAGAAGAGATGGGCAGAAAAATCCCATCCGAATTGAATTTTTCCATTGAGATGTTGAAAACTTTTAAATAATTATTCATAATTTTAGTGTAAAATAAAAAAATGTTTACGTCAAATCTTTTAAATGTAACGCTATAATTTATACAATATGATTCATATTTTATTATCAATAGAAATGAGTGCGGACGGCATATAATATCTGATAATGAAACATTCACTATCTTCGAATTTAAGGTGCACGATTATAGCTGTGTGTCACTAATTAAAATAACAAGTTTGAAAAATTTCAACAACATTTAAGATTACACCGTGCAAATTATATAGTAAATTGTTTAACAAAAAAAAAAAAATAACCTCATCGTAGTTACTTAATTAAATTAAAAAAAAAAAAAAAAAAAAAAAAAAAAAAACTATTTGAATAAAAACTGGAGATATTGCATTTTTTCACCGGCTTTTTAATTGTAACATAAACTGCCACCCGTGCTTAGATACAATTTTTGTAGTTATTATTTATGCATTGATTGGATGGATGTATTTTCATATAAAATTTCACTAAGTTTCTGTCATAAAAATGATAAGTTATTTAGTCATTTGAAGTGAATTTAAGCAAGGAAAATTATGTCTGATAAGATATCGCACGCTATCAATAAATGTTGTGGGGATTATAAGTGCTTTAATTTTCTAATGGATTTTTTTCTCTTTTTTTTTTATTGTATTTTTGCTATTAAAATGAGTAAAGTAAATGTTTTTATAATTTTCTTTAAAAAAATCCACGATTTATTAATGATATATATTTAAAGTAATTGCACATACAATGCCTAGTATGCCAGGAATAATAAAATTTTTTGTAATGCCAAGAGTGTCGTAAATATTTGTAGAAAAATCGCATGACCGCGCCCAAACTTTACTACATTGTCTTCCTAGCAAATCGAAAAAAAGAAAATTTATAGGAATATTAAATAAAGGATAATGGTATGCTTAAAACTACTACGTGTTATATTTGTTTGTTTATTACATCACACGATACATATACTTTCTAAGCGAATTTTTGATTTATAATGTTAAGGTGTGGCTTTTGATGAAGGTTCAAGGTTATCTATTAATTCAATGGAAGGGTTTAGGGAGTAGTCAGAGCACACATCATTCTGTTTAAAATTATTGCAATGTTTTTACTCAAAAAATTAATAAAAATAAAATTTTCTTTAAGTATTGAATTTCATTTTAGAATCGTCTCCATTACAATATACATACGTATTCAATATTTTTACTGATATAAAAATTATATAGAAATTATTATAAAAGTGCACATGATATCATAAATTTGTTATACAGGTATAATGATAACAATTTTATTGAGAAAAAGTATAAGTAAAAAAAAGCTATAACTGCTTTTTGTATAACAGAAACGTATACGTTTTTTTTAAAATTTCTTGGAACATATATAGTAAAAATATAATAAAAATTTTTAAATAAAATTTAATTTTAATGTCAATTATCACAGCAGTGACTATTTTACTTAATAAAAACTATTGTATTTTATAATACAAACGATTAATAAATAATGCAAAAAATAATAATAAAGTTAGTATTGAAATTTAGTATTTAAAAATAACTTTAATTAATTAAGTCAATTACTCTACAGCTAATTTATGACTCCGTTCTAATATAACAGACCAAGTGAATTTCTTAAAGAACTTTCGCAATAAAGTAAAAAAATTTCAAGTTCGAACATACAAGTCAAGTACACCTTTGGGTCAGTTGGCTAGCAACCACTGGCTCTAAGCTTTAAATTTGACAGGGCACGAGTCACAATGGTTGTTATTTACAATCTCAAAAAATTATATATAAAAAAATTCCTTTACTTTACTCCTAGAAGAAGCAAAAATTATTTACGAATTATTAAAAATATTAAATAATTCCAAGACTAAATTAAAAATAAATAAAAAATTTTGTTGTTACAATTCACTACTATTCGAAACTTCTCTAAGTAATTAAAATTATTTATTAAAATAAATTAAAAGAAATAAAACACTGTTTTAATTTTTAAAGAAATATTTTCTATCATTATGGATTTATTAATTTTGAATTAACTTATCTTTTTTAGACATAAGATAATCAATAAACATCTTGAATCTTGAAGCATGGCTTGAAGTGTGATATTTTTGTGTAGAGACAGAAAATGATATTGATATTGTCAATAGATCAATTATAAAATATTATATATACTTCGAAACGTATATTAAAATTAAAATTTAAAAATAATAACTTAGAATTAGGTATGTAAGTTACTACCTGGTAACTTATTACCCTACTTTGTATTAAATACTCAATTATCTATTAACAATTATATATTCCTTCAAGGAATAAATATTTATTCCATGAATATAACTTATTATGCCGAACTATTATGTCTCTAGAATAAAGCTTGGGTATAATACTTCCAAAGCTTTGTTTGAAAATTATTACTTATTGACACTGTCACTTGAATAAAAACTAAAAAGCTTCTATATAGCTACACTTTTCTACTCGTCTGAAATCAGGTTAATAAATAATAAAATAATGAGCAAACCTTAATTTTATATTATTTAAGTACTTTAAAATACTTTTCCGTAACTTATCACAGAGGTACTTAATAGCTTAATTTTTATCTGTAATAAAAAATCATCTTATGATTTTGATTTCATTGTTAATAAACCAAATATTTACTTTATTAGTAAACCAAATGTTTATTGATCAAACAACAAATTTCCAGAAAGCAAATATTAAGATCAGATCTAAATTAAATATGATAAGATTAAGTGAAGTTAAAATAAAAGGGTATCTTTTTAAATGATATTTTTGGACTGTTTTATCATTGCTTAACACATAACACTTATTGTAAATTAAAATAAGCAGCAGATATTATATACAATTAAAAGACTCTAGAGCGGAAAAGTTATTAAATTTTCTAAACATTATATATACTATTTGGCGTCAGATGGTGTGTACAGCTTTTGCAAGTGTAATTAATATAGAAAAAAGTTGCTCCAAATAGGTGACTATTTTCAAATCCTTTTAAAGTACTTTTTTATGACTCTGAAGTTTGAGTAAATTAAAAAAAAATAAAGGAAAAACTTTAATGATCCTTTAATGACCTAAGCCATTGTTAAATCGAGGTACCCCAAAAGTAAAAATCATTTTTACTAAGAACCATCTTCAACATTATCATTTATTTAATGGACGGGAATATCTCCAACTTTTTAAAGTATATATAAATTAGCTATTGCATAAATTTGTATATTTATATTATATGTTTTTTTTACCATTAAAATGGCTTTTGTGAAACTAAATTAGATTTCACTCAAAGTTCTCTTAGAGCACAAAGTTTACTTCAGCTCAAATAATGGTCTGTTATAATATCACGTATTAGCATCGAAGTGACCCCATACGGATCACAGTAGTATGCATACAAACACCACTGAAAAGCATGAATCCCTCATTCAAGTGACAATTCTATGTACTTTGCTAAGTCCCAAATTTTGTAGAATAACAGTTCTGTTAGATTTGGGACGAAGATCTTGAGTAGTTGAGAGTAGAGTACAGTTTTCATCTCAACACCAGAGTCACCATAAAGCTGTTAGATTTGAAATAAAAGCCCTGAAGATTGTCTTCGTCTATCCAATGATGGACACTGACACATGACATAAAATACAATTTTCATCTCTTCGCAAAGTTACAACAGAGACAATCAAAATCATTATAAGGTATAGTCCCTTAGCATGCCTTCTCAGTACACAGTAACCTGTCAGCAACTATTATGCAGTGCTGAATAAATTAGTTTTCCATTTTATTTGTTTTTTGGAGAAATAAGGCTAAAGATTTATTTTTTCGAGTTAATAAAAATGGATATCAATCAAATTAAAATAAATCAAAGATCTAAGATTCTGAGCTGTATTTTGCACTCTGTGCAAATAAAGAATCCGAAATAAACCATTATAGAAAGTATTTATATTATATTTTTCAAAAAGAGGTTTTTCGAACAGTAGTGAAAAACAACAACAAAAATTCATTTTACATTGTGTCGAATATAGCCAAATGCCCATCATAAGTGGTCTTGGAAATATTTCATATATTTAATTATTCGTAAATAATATTATATTATATTTTTCAATATTTATTTTCTGTTAGAAGATTTTCATCTACCTTAATTATACATTTACACACATACACACTTCAACGCTGTTGGCATTTAACAAAATATAATTCTCATTCTCTTTGAATGCAGGAATAATTTCTTTGTTGGATACATTTACTTTATAAAATTATGAAGTTTTTTAATATTTATTTATTAAATTCAATATTAATACTTCTTTATTTAAGCTTTCAACATAAACTACTACTACTACTAATAATTTTCTGAATTCCTTTTGGAACATAGGGCTTTCCAAAACATAAACTACATTCATATAATTAACCGACTTTAGTATAGAGAAGTATTATTCCTTAATTCATTTTCATAAAACTATTTTATATTTACACTTAAATTGCATTTTAACAATTCTATTGGTTTATCTTCTTTGTGTTCTTTAGGCCGAGAACAATACAAAACGTTTACAAGGCAAGAGAGGTGAGAATTAGAAAACCAAGCAAAACAGCGGGAAACACCCTTTGTTAACAGAGAACGCAAGCAACAATTTGTTAAATACAATTTGTGCTTCAAATAAATTGTCCGTACTTCACTTCCGTAATTATTGTTTGTGTTTATAAATTTTCTTAACTTACCTCCTCCATTTCTGGTACTACCGACGTCCATGTCTGCTAATATATATTTTGAATTTTCAGCAAAAACACCCGCAGAAACTGCGGCTAACTGCCAATCGCTGCCCGCTGCGCGTTGCCAAGTGGTAGGATGAATCAGTTCGAGCCGCAAAATCGTTCTTTATTTTGACCTTATTCGCCGTTTATTCGCCGTTTATACGTGTTTACTTTTTACTTATTCACTGTTTTTTTCTGCACCGTTAAATGCTTTACTCGTAACTCTAGCGCATTTACCAAAATTTGTTAAATATTTTTAAGACAAAAATAAAAAAAAACCAAACATTAAAATAACAAGTAAAGATTAAAATTAAAACGCAGAATTCTTTTGTAAAGCAAAAATATATACACAAAATATTATAATTAATTCACGTCACGACATGAAGCCGCCGAAGAAAAAATTTAACTAAATTAAAGAAAGCACCGAAAAAGAATGGGAATAAGACAACAAACTACGTGTTTATCGTGTGTTTGCATGTGTTCGTGTGTGTTTGTGTGCGCTTATGCTGCAACTGTGAAACCAGTAATAAGAATAAGAATCGGGTTGTGGTTAAGTTGGCCTTTTCTAATGCCAACTATTTTTTAAGTTATTACGTTTGTTTTCCTTTTATTTCTTAAGCAATAGTTGAACTTTTTGTTATTTATGCATAAAACATTACTTTTTCATTTCTGTTGGTATTGAATCTCGTGTATATTTATTTAATTTTCTTTGTTTAATTAACACTTTAAAATTAACCACTTTTCACTACGACACAAAATGCACTCCTTATTTGCTTTGTTATTGATTTTCAGCATTTCATCTTTTTGCTTTTCCTTTGCATGCAATTCTAAATCTTCGCTTATTTACTGCTTACATATTTTATTTGATTTTTTCTTTTTAATATTTTTGTTTAAATCAGCACAACACAATATTTACTTTTTCTTTTTTTTCTTGTTTAAATTATTTTCGCACTAATATATTGGGCAATGGCTACCAACTTCTCGTTCGCTTGTCTTCAACAACACTGTTTCTTTTATTTTTTCCAATTAGCGCAAACCACAACGCGAAACAACCACGCTCAAAGAAAGTAAAAAACAGAATGGAAATGAAATATTAATTTCTCATAAAAAATCCCTTGCCGTGTTTATTTTGTCTCTCATCTTCAACGTTTTTTGCATTGATAGTGCTTGTCAAAAATTCTGTGTTGTGTAATTGTTCAATTTTCTGCACAACATCAATTCTTAAAGTTACCAGACATTCATTCAAATATTCACTTTTCGTCCGAAAAATAATTTAAGCAATACGAACCGAGTAAATTGAGGGACCTATGCGAGATCGAGTAAATTGAGGGATATAGGTCGTGTGCGAGTTAGGCTAAGTTGCGTTCTAAATGAGGGAAATTCTAAGTTGTGTCGATAATGTATTGATGTGTCGATACGTGTTGATAAATGGCAAAATGTGTGCAGTGCAAAAAATCCCAAAAAATCTCCCATTTGGTTTAGCATCAACTTAGCCTAACTCGCGTCCATAGTATATTATGTCGGTATAGCAGCGAATGTTGGTATTTATCAGAATTTCGAGTAGGGTTAATTAGATAAAAATTAGGTGTTACTATTGTGAAAATTATGTGTAATAAATGAACAAATAAATAAATTTAAAAACTTTTAACCAAAAATATTAAGTACAATAAATAAATTAATAAATATTTACATATGTGAAGAAAAATCGTGATATAACTTTTTTCACTTGTCTTATTTAGACAGTTTGCTCAATAAGGACTCGAATGAGAATAATTTGCCATAAAAAAAGAATTCATGCAAATGAGTTCATTATAAATAAATCAACTGTTTAAGTCGAAAAATGTTGAATGCAACCTTTAAAAATAAATTTCCCACAAAGGATATTACAAAAATTTGAAATACATGCTTAAATCAGCTTAAGCCAATGGAAACAAGCAAGTCTTAATATTATTAATAATAATACAATCACACTGTCTCATTTAGGCACCAGCTTATTTATATTAATAAGTGAACGTTCACATTATAATGAGCTCATTTATGCAACTGATAGAACTTTTGTAATACGGCGTTTACATTGGCCGAAAATGGCTCATTTTGAATGAGCCATTTGAAAGTGTTTACATTCGTTCTATTTCATTTGTTCTCATTTCAACAGCTGATTTTTCAACTTGCATGTTGATTTGATTTTTGGCCTGTGCCAAAAAAATGATTGCATGAAGGTTAAATATGCCTTCAAACCTTACATTAGAAACTTAAAACATATTTTTAACTTCGATTAATTACTTTTTGGGAAGTAAAAGTTCTAAAAAGCAGTGCATCGTTTTCAAGAAAATGCAACCACCAAACATTTGTTTACCTTTTTTTGTAAATATGTTAAAAACAGCTTTTTCAAACTGTCAAAATGCCATGAAGAGCTTTCATTTAGGGTATGTTCAATGGATTCCTTTGCATTTGGAACGTATGTGGAATGCATTCGAACGTCATTTATACAGAATGTGAGAAAATTGCTCATTTTTGTGCTTGAAATTTTATATGCAAGAATGAGCCATTCGATACTCATTTTCGATTTTTGACCAAAATGAGCCATTTTCGGCCAATGTAAACGCCGTATAAGCTTTTATAAAATTCATTTAATAAAACATCACACAAAAAATATTTTAAATATTGATATTAATTTTATATCTTAACAACATTTTCAATTAGTGAAATCAAGATTTTATTAAATATTTATTTACTCTGTGCCTTTGCTTACAGCTCAGCTATTGTTTGTTGGCATTTCACATATAAAACATATGACACATATTTCTAATTTCAGTCATTTCCATTTTGAGAAATTTATTTTTATTTCAAAATTTCTCGCTTTAAATGAACTAATTTATTGATAATGAGCTTATATCTGTGAACGATTTTTGAATGGTAATTCATATTCATTAGTGGCTAAAATGAGCAAAACCGCCTAAATGAAACTGTTTGAATGTACTATAACATAAATAGTTTTAGCTACAGTGAAAACATGATATTATAGTGCTCGCAAAATGTGGTGTGAGATGTTTTCACAATATTTAATTAACATAACAAACTACTACTAACTGTTAAAATTTAAGTGTTAAGTATGTGTTAAATAATTTATAAAATTTGTTATTTCATGCTTATTTAATAAATTCAAACTGTCACATCAGCTGTTAACTATTTATTCACATGCAAATTCGGAGAGTGATAAAAATCTTAGTGATTATTTTTTCAATATGCATTCACGTTATTTCAATTTAACAAATTAGCATTTCTAGACAAATTTAGCATGTAACATATCAATGTTTTTTATTTAATTTATGTAAAAATAAAACAAAAATGGAAATCTAAGCACCTGACTAATTTGGATTTTAATTACACATACTTCTGAAAACTCATAATCAGTTTAACGACGCTTTTTTTTTTCTTCATATATTTGTTTAATATTAATATATTTTTAATTTTATAAAAATATTATTGTTTATCACCTAACTTAATAACATTTTCAGCTTGTACAATAATAATATTAAAATATTTCTAATTATTATTAAACAAAGCGTATCATACAGTATTCAACTGACAAAGTATTTTATAAAATATTAAATAATAAACAACTTTCTACTTTTATCAAAAACTTAAGTTTTTCATTTGAAAAGAATAAAAATTATTGAACATATGAATAATTAATATAAAACTCATTATAAAAAAATATTCTATAATGGCTAAATTTTGTGAAACATTTTTTTTTCTATGAAGTGATATCAGTACTAGGCTTTAACTACTTACTAAAAACAAATGTATTGAATTAGTGAATTTCATAAATTAATTTATTCTATATACCATTTTAACACAAGCTTGACATTGTACTATGTCACTATACATTTTGACTATAATATTCTAAATTTTAGCGCAAGATAGCAAAAATCAGTTAACCAGTCTGGCAGCATTATAAAACAGCTGATATCAAATACATATGTTAAAAAATTCATAACAATAATATATCAAAATAAGCCGCAAGCTTACTAGTAAAATAAATTAAGTTATAAAATAAAATAAAATTTGTTCTAAAAAAATATGTACAATGTACAGCGTATCTTTTTTAGGCCATGCAAGCAATTGACGAATATACATAGACTGAGCACTAAAGTAAAGAATAAAATTAAAACAAAAACAATACCGGCGGTAAATACAGAAATACCTCAAAAGCTTCTAAATAAGAAATTAAAAACTCCAGATTCAATGTACATTATAAATGAAATAGCTGCAAATATAATCGACGAAAGTATAGAACCATTTTTATCAAACACTCAATGTAAAACAGCAATCGAAATAAATCCTGGTCTTGGACTGTTTACGAAAAAACTATTAGATCGAGAAAAACAATTTGATAATATATTACTATTTGAATCTACGGACGAATTTCTGTCCAAGCAAGAAGAATTACATGTGCTCTATCCGGAACGTGTAAAAGTTAAACGCGGTGATTTTGTAAATCTATCGAAGATAGTCTATCAAGATAAAATGGATAATGGCACACGTACAGAGGAATTGCTAGAGCATGTACCTAAAATGCCATATAATGAAGGTATAATCTGAAATTTATTAACAAATATGTTAACAATTTTAAATAATAATTATATAATTAATATTTTAATAGGTATTAATGCACGCATCTTTGGTGTAGTTGGCTCATACAATTTTTTCAAGTCCCTAATTAATTTTCTGGTGTTCCAAAATGGTCTCATTGCTTACGGACGGTATGAGTTGTTTGTAGTTATGCCTCCACCAATATACATTGTAAAATTATTATGCTTATAAATATATGTTTTGTAGTATCTTTTGATTCCTATATGTTTCCAGCACCTTACCTGCTCTGGTGACTTAGGTTATATGTTTTATCGCGCAACATCAATACTGTTTCAAATTCTATTTGAGTATCAATACATAACGAAAATTCCCCGCGAATATTTTATACCACCTGAAAGTCAAAGCAAAATGAATCCAAAAAGTAAATTACATCGGGTAAATATTATTATATTATTTCTTAAAAATTGAAGTATATTTTTTAAACGCAAAAAAAATTATTATAAATTAATATATCTAAGAAAAGAATACCTTAAAAAGTCTTAAAAGAAATTGAATTAATTTGTTAAAATCTTGCTTTGCTTTTTTTATGAAATTTTATAAAATTGTTTTACTCTATATTACAGGTTAATTCTATAAATACAGATTACTTGTACTTAGTAAAAATTTCACCTCGGCAGAATTTAAACGACTTTTGTTCCATAGCTGATCTTCCTGCGATGTGGTATTTTATTAAACAAAACTGTGTAAGTCGACGTAATCGTGTTGTGCCAAATCTTGAGTAAGTTTAGTATAATAAATATCTTTCCTTTTTATTATAAAATACAATTACTACAGAAAATGGATACCTGGTTGTGGTATTAGAGTTATAGCCGATGCTTCAGTACCAGAAAGAATTGAATTTATGTATCCTAATGAAGACACTACCAAGCTGCCTGAATATACTAATCGTTGCACAACAATGCATTGTAGAGATTTCCATCAAAATACTAATATATATACACAGTTTGGTGATCTTAGCGGTAGCCAGATACTTGCACTTTTTACACAGTTTCGTAATTGGCCTGAGTATAATGAGTGTCCGTTCACGGCTTCACTGGAAAGCTGGCTAATAAAAATGAATACAACAGATGATGATAGTGCTGGAGGCATTGATATATCAGAAGAAGATGATATGCGCAATGATTTAATGGAATTAGATAATATGTCCTATGAACAAGAAACTGACAAAAAATCTGCAGGCAAAACAAAAAACACGATAAACTTATGATTAATGAATAAGAATACATATTATGCACGAACTCCATAATATTTTTTATCATGATTGTAAATAATTCTATAAATACAGAGAATTGTAGTAGAGGTTAACAATTTTATACATATACATATGTAATTTAACTATTCTTAAAGTTTTGTAAACATTTTGATCATTTAAAACATTTAAAAAAATTAACTTTCTAATATTGTTTAATATTGTTTATCGCATATGCTTTTAAAACCATATAATATATATTAAATATATTTGTGTATGCTTTCAAAATCGAGTATGTATGTATATAAAATATAATTTTATTTAAAAATTATGTTCAAGATACCTTTAGAGAAAAGACAAAATTATTTTTACACATTTAAAAGCATTTATTCCAATATTGAAGAATAAGATATAGCAGATAAACTTAATTATATATATAAAATGTTATACCCAAAAGCACTATCTTAATTGAAAAGATTATATATGCAGGAAGTAGTTAGTGTAAACCTAGAAATTCTTCTAAGTATTTTTCTTTTTTCAATCTTCAAAGTATCAGTTTTTCACGTAATATATATCTTATGAAAAAAAAACCTAACATAAAAATATTGGAAAATATAATATAATTTATAATTTATTAGAATTTTATTTGCAAAACTTTAAGAATAACGCCGTTTAAGTTGTTGCTACTTTCATTGAATTTCATTGAAAAAATTTAATTTAATAGAATTTTTTTTTATTAATTATTGAAATCACTTTTGTACATCGTAAAAATATGAAAACATTTTTTGAATTGTTTATAAGTTGAGATATTATATTAAATAAAAATATATATAAATTAAAATTAAAATATTAATTATATATTAAGGTTGGCACAATCTCCTTTTGTTGCACGTTTTGAGCCTCGTGCGCAAGGTTTAATAAGATCAACTGTGATTTGTGGTAAACCATCATCACCAAAACGTGACGCAAGCGAAATTGATTGACGTACACAGTCTACCATTAAAGTAGTAGGATCAACTCCTAAAACATAAGATAAATGCGCATTGCGGCACGGTGCACCATCACCGAATTTATAACATATTTTATTAATTCTGATTTCGCCATCACTACATTCATTCTTGATACATTCTGGTATAACATTATTTGGTGCAAGTACGAGCATTTCATCTTCCTTACAAGGACCTTTACGGAATGCTATATAGCAAGCATCCGAATCAGGATGATATATTGCAGCTGTAAATAATAATATCTTCATTATTTGCATACATGTACATTAATCAAATTATTATTTATAAATATGTATGTTTTTTATATTTACCAGGTGCGCAGTCACATATCCAATCGTCGACTTGATCGCCAGGGTATAGTAATTCATTAGCTTTACAACGTGTTGGTGAAAATAAAGGCACACGACCCTGTATTATAAAAGATTAAGTTATTATACATTTTATGTTTACAAATTGAAAACAATTTTTTTTTAATTGATTACTTTTTAATAACCATCGTTTCTTAGAAGTCTTTCACTAGCATTTTAAACAAAGACTTCGTACACTAAATAAAAATACTGTTTGCATCATTATGATCATTTTCGACTTGGTTAAAAAAAAAACCCAATTATTAAAAGATTTTATGTATGTATACATATATTATATATAATTACGGGAAATGCCTTGTTTTTTTTTTAAACAATTAAAAAAATTTTATTGTAAATACTCACAGCAAGGTTTGATTTTTTCTTATCAACTTCGAAATGATCTGGAAACTCGATTTGTCCCACAGCACTACCGATTACGATAGTTATTAGTAAAATGTTTATGTTAAGCGATTTAAGCATTTTATAAAAATAAAAATTTGAAAAATTTGCGTATAAATAAATAACAATAATAGAAATTAATAACAAAAGTCAAAGCTGATAAAATGCAAACCGAAATCTAACTTTCTACTGATTAATTCAACAAATTATTGTGCGTCTTCGATCTTGTTAGCACTTTGCCTAGTAAATCACAACTGAGATTGAAACTCGAAGCTAGCAGTATAAAGTGAAGATCTTAGTCTGTGATTAAGTGTTCATTTTATTCGCAATTTGTAAAAAGTTAAAAAAGAGCAAGGGAACAACCTGTTTTAAGTGTTTTCATTTATTTTATATGAATTAAAAGATAAGCACAAACTAATCTCCAAGAATCGTTGCAAGAAGAAAGAGCATCATTTACTCTCATCATTCATTTCAGATCATATCTGGTATTTATACCAAAAAAATAGTGATTTTCTTTATACCAAACCCAATAATATATTCTATATTATTTTTGTTTAATAGCATAAATCTGGGAATTTGTTTATCAAGCATGTAAACTCAATATAAAATAATATATAATTGAAGAGTGCATCACAAAAACAAATTTGTTAGATCACCAACTGGAATTCCCGAAATTTATAATATATGTATGTTTGTAGATACTCATCAGAAAGATAACACTATAAAAAAAAACTAAATATAATAAAATGTCGTTATTTCTTAAATGCTTTGCATTTATTACATAATGAACCATCATGAGGATCGCAAGAGAAAATTTTATTTGCTTAACAACATAATACAAATATTTAAAAAAATAAAATATTTTTATTATATTATTTCTTCATCCTTATGTAAGAAAGCTACAAATCCTAAAGGCTTTTAAATGGTACTTGAGGTTTGATTTGCCGAATAATTGCCGAAGTGAGTGTACATCAGCGCGAATGGAAATAGTTGCTATAGTTAATCTATTTATTATTTCTCCGCACTTTAACTTTGCTCCTTAGAAATCCTGGCGACTATAACTCATCCCGCTGAACCCTTTTCTAAATTGTAATCAGATCTTTATCAAATATTAAATAAGGTGAAGCGTTGGCACATAAAAATAAATGAATCTAAATCTACCTAAGTCATATTTACTATGAAAGGAGACAGTTGTTTTAAAATTAAACTAAATATGTAATAATTTCACAATTAAATACTGCAAAATACATAGGCATGCATTTGGATAGGCGTCCTTCATCCACTTAACATATCATTCCTCTTACATAAAAGTGTGTTAAAAGCAGTTCGGACCTACGGCATTTAGCTATGGCGCACAGCAGTAATATCGAAATTCTTCAAATACTCCAATCAAAACTCCATGAGAAATGATATACTCTTCATAGTACATAACTAATGTCCAAATCTATCGTGATCTTAATAAATCTCTAGTGGAAGTTGCAAACAGAACTTTGACCTCGTTATTATATAAACACGTATTAAAAAAATCAGAATGCCAACCCGGTGATTGTAGCACATATAGGCGATTTCAAACCAATATGGATATATCATACCTATCGCACCTATCACATCGCATTCTCCGATTAAGTATTGCCTGATGTTTACTCTGCATGCTAGCTTTTTCCAAAATATTTTAAAATTGAGTATGCAAATTTCAAAAAAGCTATTTGAGAGATTTAATAACATACATTTATAAAACCTTCATAATCAATATGAAATCTTCTAGTTTTGCCATGTCGTTTTTGCAGTACTTACAACTTAATCAAGTTAATCTCGGTTTGATTAATAATATTATCCAATAAAATATCGAGACGTTGCTTTCTCCGGCATATTTTCATATAGTTGTGTATTATTCAACTCAAATAGTTTCCCAAACTCATTTCATTCGGAATACGACATATTATATTTATATGAGTTCTTTTCAATACTCAGAAGAGATCTATTTTCGGAACTTTTTAGTCTTATCGAAGTCATAAGCTTCATAGACATAAGTCTGCAAAAAAAAAACTGCACTTTCCTAGCAGATGGGTAACTGCTATAACCCAATCTTGCTGCAACCATTCCCAACCATTTAATTTCTTCAGTTTCATATAGCTGTGGTAAGTCTCATATAGCTGTGTTGATGATAATTAAATCATCTATACATATTGTTTTATATTTGGTAAGATATTTTAGGAGTTAATATACCATAGAAGGGATCCAATTTTTTGAATTTTGTCTACTTTTGTTGCAACAGGCTGCTTTAATACGCTGTTATTGACAAATTTCTACGGATCACATCTTAAGAATTGTACCGTGGTTTCTGTATTTATATTATTACCTTCTAATATAAAGAAACAATATTTTTTACAAAACGAAAGCCACGTTATAAGCGGAGTTAGACTTCAAACTAGAAAACCAAACAGTTTCAATTTACTGTAACCTTTACCCGCGCCGTTTAATATATGGTATATTACACTTAATAAAACACTTATAAGATGTAGATTTATAAGTAATATTTTTATAAAATTTATATTGAATACTATCGTGTTTAGTTTAGCAAAAACGGCCGCGAAAGGCATGAAATCCATTTCTTTTAATTTTATTATTGTTTACTCATTTTTTTAAAAGAGCTTTTATAAAAGTACATATATATATCTTCATACATACAAACATCATTTGTTTTAATGCGATAACAGTTCCATAAAATTTTTAAAAAATTGAATTGAATATTTGCACATACCTACATATTGTATTTATTTATTTTTGTTTTGCTCTAATTATTTAAGGTAATAAAATTATATTTTCTTCCATTCATAAAGCCGTTTGTTTTAAATAAAAACCGAAAAAGCGATTCATATTCCAACAAAAAAAAACAATTTATCAACTATTTATAAATCTAATTTTATTTCTATTTCATATTAAATAAAATAACATTCGACATTATTATATAGCTAACCACCGAAGAACAAGATACTTAAGAAACACGAGTTTCGAAGAGCATGGATATCTTCCTCGAATTACTTGGTTCCAAACGGCATGATTTTTGTGTATGATTTAAAATAGAATAAAATATTTTTTAAAATAATTTTTTTTTAATTCACACTCTTGAAACCGTGTCCCGCAGTCTTGAATAATGCAATTTCATTAATTATTTTCTTCGAAGCTTATATTAAATTAAATTTCCACCAAATATATTTTGTAATTTATTACAAATCATTCGAACAACTGTTTAATATAAACATTATTAGGATAACAAGTTAAAGATCAGTGGCGTAACTACATTTTTTAGGCCTGTAAGCAAATTCTAACTAAGGGGCCCCTATCAACATACTAAGGGGCCCCTCTTTTTATACTCTTTACACGAAAAATGTGAAAAGGGTATAAAGGTTTGTCAAGATTTTCGTAACGCATTAAAGGAAACGTCGGAAATACCATTAAGTATATATCAGTACAGTATATATATACTTTTTCAGTTCAAACTACTCTCTCAGCTTTTGAACTCTCCGAATGAAACTTTACACACATACTTTTAGCCGACCCTGTTCACCATTTGATTTGATTGAAATTTGACGTCTATTTCTTGTAGCTGTGATATAAACTTAACAATCGGATATGAGGTTTCTCCGTTTTTAATTAAGGTATTTAAATAGAATTTGGTGTATACAGTACTGATATTTGCAAAAGACAACGTACAAAATTATTTTCAAATGGGTTTAAATCTAGATATAGCTTCCATATAAACTCTCGATTACGAGACATACTTTTCTTAGAAAAACTTTTTTATTTTATAAATAGGTTTAATATTTTATTTGAAGTACATACATATTATGTACTTTAAATTTAAAATTTACGTGTCTTTTATAAAATGCAATATGAAGTTATTCCAACAAAAAACGTTTACAAACATTTATAGTGGGGCCCCCTAAATTCGGGGGCCCGAAAGCGTTGCTTCCAGTTGCTTACCTGTAGTTACGCCACTGTTAAAGATATAAATTATATATAACATACAACTTTTTATAATTATATTAGTCGTATTTTCAGTTATAAAAATTAGCTAATTAAGTGGTTAAGGTACCTTGACTTTGAGCTTCAAATTTGGCAGAATACGTGTTCGATTTCTGGTATTTGCAGTCTCAAAAAATTATTTACGTATAATTAAATATAATAAAAATTATTGCAAGACCACTGATCTTGGGTACTTGGCAATACTCGAAACAGCTGTATGGTCAACCAAAAATTTAATTAATTAAAATAATATTTAATGAATTTTTGTTGTTGTGGTTTCACTACTGTTCAAAAAACTTCCTTAATTTAATTATAGTAATTTTAATTTATTTTTATTGTATATTTTAACGAAATTTAATAAATAATTTTTAATGCTAATTTGTTTCTTACTATTTCCAATACTACTCGCCACAAAACAGAGTCGTCAAATTTTTCGCCGTAATTCGCCGTAACAACTTTCATAACGTCAACATTTTACATTTTGCGTTGTGAGTGCTGCTCTTATTTTTGTAGTGTTTTTACCTTTAGAAAAAATCGCTAAATTCTATTAAAAATTATTGCAATAACTATTATATGTATTTAAAATAAATATTAATATAAAATATAATTGTTCATAAGTTATTCTACATGTTAATAAACTGTATGTGAAAAATGCTAAACAAAAACGGTAAAAGAAAAAGTAAAAAAAATTTGCCAGCGACGACAGTAAATAAAAGAAAACAACTTTTGTTGGTGGCGAGAAGAAAATAGTTAAAGTAGCACCTGATACCTTTAATAATTGTGAAAGGGTTATTGATATAGTGCGTGCAAAATGCGAAATAAAAAATTAAAGTGCTTTTAATATATAAATATAAAATAAAAAATATGATTAAAAATGTAATATATTATAATTAATGTGTTGCTAAGAAAATGTTTACGAAAAAATCGCATGCCGATATAAAAAAGTCCACCGCAAAATTGCAGGACTACAAAAAGGATTCCTCATCGCGTCTAAGACATTTGCGCACTATTTTAGGTAAATTTTTTTTTTTTTAAATAATAAAATATATCAAAAATAACTGTAATTAAATATATTTCTTAAGCCGTGTGTTTGTATGTATGTATGTATGTCATTGCGGTGCTCAAGATAGAAAAAGCAGTAGGTGTAAGTGCTATACTTCGGTCGCTTATGTGTAACAAACAAGAAATATAAAAGAAAAAAAAATATATGAATCTGGTCAAATCAATGACAACAACTTTAGCCCACAAGCTGAATTTTCAATTCCCCAAACAGCAAAGTCATGTTACCAATACTAAACATTGCCAATTGATAAACCAATTTACAATATAGTATATTGTATATGTACTAGCAATTTTATGGACATTAGCTTTTACTCTTTGCACCACTACAACCGCCGCCGTCATGTCATCACATCATTATTCTATTTCCTGCTATATTTGTTTTTGTGAATTTTGGTATTGCTTTTCATGCCGCACAGTAGTGCCTGCTCGGTGCTAGCTGCTGTGCACTTCCAGTACTTCCAAGTTTAAACAATTTCATACGCTATTCGCACTCACTCACATAAACTCTTTAATAAAATCTACAAAAGTACAACACATGAAAAATAAAAAATTCTCAAATAAAATAAAATTATGCAAATTATTTATGTACAATTGGAAATCAAGTGTAAATAAACAAAAAAAAAGCACATTAATTTGAACCAAAAAAAAAGCACATCAAAATATATAGAAAATATGGAATATAGTGTACAGAAGGCTGGGTACGGAGAAATGTGTGGGGAAAAAATTTACAATGGCATTGCTTTTTATCATTGCCTCGGCGGCGTTAACTGGAAACATCATTAGCGCTTATACAATATTTAATAGCTTGCTAAAATGTTATTTAGTTCTGCTCTTCAGTGCCCCTTTACATGCGTCTACACCACGCTACCGTTGAAGCAATTATCATTCTTATACTCGTATATATACATCATATATCACATACATTCATTCCTGATTAACACTTTTTGCCGTGCTTTCGTATTCTCGCTAAACATTGCCGTGCTTTAGCTCAAGTTTAACGCCAATTCTTTTTGTTTTTTTTTTTTTTGGCTCATATCGTAGTACAAACTCGCTAACTCGCTGAACCAGATGTTCTGCTATTCTTGGCTAACTGAGGTTGTAAGCATAGTTCTTCAAATACTACACAGAAACAGTATCGCATTCTAGTAATAAAATATACTTAGGTCTTTTGAAGCACTAATGAGGTGCTTCTTAAGTAATTGTATTACTTAACTCGTCCGCTATTGCTATTAGTCATGTCATACACCTAAAAATGTCATTACTTACTTTCTTCTGCTTTGGGAACCTGTTTTAAAAGAAATCTCTTTGAACTTAGCTTATTTGGAAATATATTGCCGCAAAAACACTTCTGAATCATCCGCATTTGTATTTGCACCCTACCATCTGCATTTTGAATTGAATATATTGATCTTATTGGTGTTTTGTTCGTGGTTAAATTCCTTGTACCATAGTATACTGTTTACAGCCTACTATAGTCTACAAGGAATCACTCCTCTCCCATTTTTTTTACCTGTAAAAATGATTATTATGTGTACGAAAAGTAGTAGATGAGTATAAAGTTTAATAATTATATAAAAATATAGTTTAGATATTTTTATAAAATATAAATCTGTATAAAAATGAATATTGTCTCTCTGTCTGTACTCGATGGATTCAAAAACCATACATCAAACCACCGTGAAAATTTGGGAAATTATTAGGTATATCCCCGGGAAGGTTTTTGCAAATTTTTATCAAGTGTTCAGAGAAAAACTAGGCAAGAAAGAGATCGAGTTCACACTGCTCTTGCTCGATCATTAGAAACGAGTGAGCAGAGGCAAGCAAGGCAAGAAAGAGATTAAAAAACGAGTGAGTGATACAAAGTTCGACGGGTCAGCTAGTAAATTATAAAATGAGAGAAAAATTAAATATTCTTGATCTTCTTTGCTTGATGAAACGTGATTTAGTTTCTATAGCAATTTTACTTAATAATAGTCCACTGTAACAATAGAGTTATTGAAATATGATAATGATTTAATCAGGTGATTTTATAGAAGTATAGTTTGTATGAAAAGTAATTAATAACCTAATTTAGGTTAGGTTGGTGCGGTAGCCTTGTGCCCAAAGCCCACTCAAGTTCAAATAATTTCTCGTTGTGGCAGCCGTAGATTAGAGTAGATTAGAAAGTCACAACTCTTTCATGCAATCGAAAGTTAACTAAATTGATAAGTCTTTTAAGTTAACCAAGTCCCTAATTTTGCAGGACAACAGGTTTATCAGGTCGGTGGGAAAAGTGACTAAGAATTTCAAATTCTCTCCTTGTTATTAATAAACCATGAAAGATTAGATAAATTTCCTGCCTATCCGCAAGGCTACAACCACCGACAAAAATCATTATGGAGTAGATCAAGTGTCAGAGCATATATTCCTAGTAAACAGTGACATGTGAGCACCGATGAATTAATGCTGAGTAGGTTAGTTGAAGCTGTTAACTGGTACGTTTTTTGTACAGTTTGAACCAGTTCGAACTTGAAGTGTGACAGAAGGGTATATCTCCTCAAGTTTGGTTAGCTATGCTCAGATATTTTTGTTTGATTTCAGCTTGGCCGTTGCAAAAGAATAATCTAATAAAAGTTTTATAACTACGTTATTTTTATACATTAGATTATATGTATACTAAACCCTGAGAAAACTTTGGTGCAGCCTTTTATTTAAGTCATTGAAAAATCTCATAATTGTTATGTATTTAATATTATCGAAATCTTCAAAGTAAGTAAGTCTATGTACAGTAATATTTTAATTTGTACAAAGTACTGTTATGATTTTGTTGGGATCACACTTCAATCTTTTGAAAAAATATAAAAACCTGCTAGGGTTTATGTTAGGTAACGTTAGAGAGGCGGCCTTGTACCCAAAGCCTATTTGAGCTCACATTGGAGCTCACGATCATACCACGGAGCAGTGTTATTCATACATATACCAGAAGTATTCCTGAAAGGACCGTAGTGGTAAGCGTACGAATAACGCTAAAAGGCGTTGCTGTGGTTTATTCTTGCACACATATCTGGCTTATTGAGTATAGTATCAAATTATAGTCAATTCAAAATACAACGTTCTCTTATTAAATTTGTAGGTTGTAAAGTTGTGCGAAATCCAGTGAACGTCTACTCCCTTACTACTTAGTACTTTCCACAGGGACTTTGCCAGCTCTTCACGGATTACATCTATAATTAAGTTTCTTGGTTTTTCTTCGCTGAGTAGAATAAGCCACATTTAGCGTTAATTATTTCAATCGCAAATAAATAATCAAAATATATATAATTTTTCAATGTAGTCGACCGAACGATATAACGATTTTAATGTCTATAGTATTGTGTATATATTGTGTGGATTTCTCCTACTTTGCTGACGCAAAAGACTTCGTTTCTATAATCATTTGGAATTTGGTTTTTCCATTTCACCGCTAGAATTCAACTCCTAATTCTTCACGCATTTTTGTTTTAATTTTTTTTTTCACTTATTTTGCAAAATTTTTATCTAATCAAATTTTATTTGAATAAATTTTGCTGCTCAAAGGAAAGTATACACTTGTACATACGACCAAGTTTTTATACTTTCTGTTAGTTATAATGAAAATAATATATTCTTTACGTTAAATTTAGGTCAGTAAGTAATTAAGTTGAGTAGGATTATAAATTATTTATTATTGTGTATATTTTTAATTGAAGTCTTTAAATTTAATATGCTAATAGAGCTTAAATATTATTTATTATTACTTAATTTTGATTTAAATTATTGAAAGAGTTTTAAAATACGGCATTTATATTGATAATATATATTTAAATGTATTTTATATAATAGATGTGTATAATAAATAGATTATCTATATCTGGATAAATTTACATCCAGATATAGAGTCAACTTCAATAAGATCGAAGAAAATTCCAAACATCATTCCAGAATGATAATAATAAAATACACAATAAATATATTTTTATTAAAAAGTTTGTGTATAGAATATAATTGAATGATTATATTATTTATTTTAATACACATACCTTTTACAAAGATAATGTGCTAATATTATTTTATTACACGATTACTTCTGATACGATTAATGAAGATAAACCAATGTCATTGGTTTAAATTACCTAGTGTACCACTATGTATAAAGTTATTGAGTGGACGTGCTAATCTTAACTAATAAGAGTTAATAAGGGTTATGTCAGGTTTTCTAAATTTTTTTTTACATTAATCTTAACCCTACCATCCAGGTGTACACTGCATACAAATTTTTATCTTATCAAATTTTTTATGAGTACATATTACTACCTAATTTGAAATACTTTGCGTTTGTTATAATGAAAATAATATAATGTCAATACATAATTGGAATTATTATTATTATTATTTTTTAATAGTTTCTCTGTTATTGAGACACTTCTATAGCATAGTAATTCTACACTGCTTCAAATAATACGATAATTGATGGCTTAAATACAAATTTTAATTCTAACGATCAAAGAAAAACATATAAACATGATATAATATATAGGTGAAACTAGAAGATAGTGGTGCCAGATTTGCATTTTTTTATCTAGGTATTATAAATACATTTTTTCAATAACATTTATTTTTTATTTACTTAATTAGTAGTCCCTAACAAATAGTCGCGGTTTTCAACCTAACACATAATACTTATTTTATGATCTTTTAGATTTTTCTAGTCAACATAATGTTTACCTTTCTTCGAAAACTTAGTATTCAAGGACTAAAAATGTAGGTTCCAAATATAACTCTTATCATGTATGCTTACAACTTTTAAAAGAATTATCGCTCTAGCAAGTAATAATATAACCCATGCTTTCTCAGAAATGAGGAAACTATCCGGAAGCAAGGTACAACAATAACAGAAAATGATTCAAATTATGCAGATTTTAGATATGAGATATAAAAACAAGATAGTATTTACTTCTATAGTTTGAGTCATGTTACAATCTAAAATCATGATTCATTTGCTCACCTTTTCATTGATGCCATTTACAATTTTTTGAAATTCTATAATTTGGATCTATGACTGGTTCCTTATATTTAAATTTTATACTTATGTACATACTGACATTTTTTATTTGTTAAGATTTTATTAGTAAGTTCATGTTTTAATATCTATCTCCACTGCAGCTAATATAATAGAGGTAAACTAAAACTAAACTAAAATGGTGAACAAATTGACTAGACAAACCTGATAACAAATATTTGGAGATCTTAGTCCACATAAATTTAATCTGGGATTAAAATCATTCGAATTGAATGGGTATCATTCAAATTTACCAGGTTCAACCCTTGATACTTGCACTCTCAAAGAACTATTTACGTATAATTAAATATATAAATTAATTCCAAGACCATTGATGATGGGTATTTGGCAATATTCGAAATAGCTATATGGTCAGCCAAAAATTCAATTAATTAAAAATAATAATAATTATAAAATTAAAATAAAATCAGTGTATAATAGATAACATATAGTCAGAATAATTTCAAGGAATGATTTAAATAATTCAAATATGAATAAATATAATATTTATCAAATCTCATGAAATCAAATAAATTTAAATGACTTCCATTTCATAACTACTGGCACATAGGAAGAAGACTATTTTGGTTAGAGTTTGTTAGAGTTTACACCACATAAATCTAATAAATAATTTATAGAGGCATGATTCGGATTTCTTCGGGGCCACTATTTGACAAATTAATTTTGATAAATTTTAATATTTTTAGTAACTTTTTTTACACATCAAATGTCGATTTCACTAAGTTATATCAAGATATTTGGCTTTGGTATTGTAATAAAACACATCTGGTGCGTCAAGTTGTTGTTGATCGTTGTTTATATACTCAATATAAAAATAACCTGTACTTGTTGCCGTCAGATGATTTTCTATTACTGTAATCAATGTAAAATTTTACTAAGTCAAGGCCTTATATCTTAGGAACGTAGCTATATCATAAGCTATAGCTTAGAATGGTAGAAAATTTGCACAGCATATTAAAAATCCGTTGTCAAATTATGACATCAAGAAATCGGTAAATCTCTTCCGAAAAAATAATACGAGTGACTGAAAATCTTGGCAAAGGTTGTATTGTTGTTGATAAGGGTTGTTCTCGAGAATCATAGGGTATCAGCCTTTAATTCTCAAAGTTTGAGGTAGGGCTGCTACCTTCGACGAATATTTATTGGCTATGCGGCCTCCAAACTTGCCCCATTCACCGCTTTAGCTGCAGTCATTTCCTACTACAGCAAGATGTTGGCATGGTTATACCACCATGTACTCAGTCGTCAGAGCCGAGTAAAAGGTAGATGGTTGATAATAAAGCCGAAGATGCTGCTTGAGACGCATCCGACTCCTTACACTGACAAAAGTTATTGCACCAAAATTCTATTATGAATTTGGTTCGATATGACTATGAGTAACTATAAGAATATCGCGTTCGATATTCATTCTCTGTTCAGAATATTTTAAAACAAATATTATTTAATAGAATTTGTATGAAATGAACTCGTCCAAAATTACAAATATATAAAATTATGTTTTATTAATTGTGGCAAATAATTTTATATATTTTCTTAAGTCAACCTTTGTTATAAATAATTTTCTTAAATATTTGTTAAGTATGTTTATTTTTTCACACTTCTGACCAAATATTATTCTGTTTTATTTCAGATAACGTCGATCATGAAGATGCAAAATCATTGTTTGAAACAAATTACAGTCACGTTTATTTCATACTCTACGATACTTTCATACAAGCGGAGGCTAACCTGAAGCAAAAAGGTAAATACTTCAAAACAACATTTCGGCTTAAGGTTAATCGGATTATAATTATTTAAGTTGTGAATATAATGTATAAATATAGATATTGATAAATAAAATGGATCATAGTTGAGTATTTGTAATTTTATACTTATATGTTGGAATTTAAATGCCATGTGTAAGATGTATGAATAATCCCTACATATAATGAATTACGCACAGAATTAAAAATATAAACAAAAGGAATTAGTAGCTACTTAAAGTATCTTTGATAACAGTTTGGTGGTTGGGAATCATTAATCACTTCTCTAAATAATGTGAGTCAGATTTTATATATGATAAAAAACTATTTTTGTCCTCATTTTTTTATAATTTTTATATAGTTTTATTATCTTAAAAAGTATTCTAGAAAAGGAATTTCATACCCAACATGTGTCATTTTTCTCCAAAGGTCTATAAGGGACCTATATGATAGTATAGTGCAGTTTGAACTTTTGTACATAGAACCGTATAGATTACTAATTGATTACTAACACATGGCAAAGCGTTCTTCCATTTTCTATTTATTTATGTATTCAATATGTTTTAATTAGAGGTTGTAGAAATTCTATTCCCAGTGAAATAGAATATTGCGACCATAAAAAATCTGTTGCATAAACTAAGATGGATATAAAAATTGCTATTGATGAACCGTAAAAAAACATTTGGTTTAAAACCCCGGACTCCATTCTGTTTAATGAAAACCAAAAGGATGTAAGAAATAATCACTTGTTTCAGACAGATAAATTAAGGTGCATGTTTCACCATATTTCACAGAATCTGTAGGTGCTACCGACATTTAATCCGCTCTTTAAAAGTTTATTATTAATAGGTGCGTGCCCAATTAAAGTAACCAATGATTTGTGTTTAGATATGATTAAACTAAAATGATACGAAGATTTTAATTGTTAACTCCATTTATCTGTTTTGATTGCATAAAACCTTTAACATTGGTCCATGACTTCGAAAACAATTCACATTGAATATAAATGGATATAAATTATTTGGATTAAGTTTTTTGTTGCAATTCCTCATTAATGCAATGTCAAGCCAATCGATTACGCTTAGAACTTCCACAACTAAATGGACAAGAATACATATAGGCCTTTTTTTATAAAGTCTTTTTTTCTGCTGACAATAATGGTATGCCCTATTTGCACGGACTAAAAATAATCCCCTGCAAGACTGTTTTTACTCCGAAACTTTATCGGAAATACTTTAATATAGGATCCTTGTGTTGGTTATTCATTAATGATTTTCTTCGTTAACCTGCCTGGTTTATTTGTTTACCTATCTTCGAAAATATTAATTTAGATGTGACATCTAATTTTTTCTATTGAAGTATAATCATAACAAAGCGGTACAGTTTTGTTCAGATAGTATCATATTCGTTGTGACATTTTCGACGTTTATTTCGCAGACTATTGCTTTAAGTGATGTTATTTCGGGGTTTCATCTAGTGTATCTGAAGATGGTGTGTTCAGTATTATCTTCGTGTGCATTTCCGTATATCTATTTCGGATTATTTACTTTATTATTGGGAAAGATATATTTTTGAAATATTCATGATTAGAAAAGAATTAGTTAGGTAATACTTTACTACACCAGTTTTCCTAACTGCACATTTCGCTACGTCTGTGAATGTATTAACATAAGATGGTAAGGAAGAGAAAGGTAAGAAAAGAAAGGAATAAGTAAGATTTTTGTTATATTATTATTATTATATTATATTAGATTATATTATATTATATCATATTTGTCTGTTAATTATAAAAACAGTTATTTATATTAATGTATATCTAATCAATGAATATAATAGATTTTGGAAGCAGTTACAATATTGAATTAACATGCGATCGCAATTACTTTTAGGCGAAATTAATGATCCATTTTGTTTATCATTACACCAGTTATATTAATTATTAGTATATTAACGATCTAATTTCTTAAAAAATTAATCAATTTATTTTATTTTCTTCCTTCTCCTATGTCGTGTACGACTAAAAAAAAACACACGCACACTTTCAAAAAATTATAACAAATTCCAAAAAAAAACATAAAAATTATTTTAAATTTCAAAAATAAATTCTTTTATTGTTTCTGTTTCTTAAATTGAAATGAAAATGGCAGAACTTCCGTTTCATATTGGTAAGTTTGTGGTTGATTTCTATGGAACTGTCTCACATTTACTGCAAAATTATTACATACATCTATTCTTTTAAGTTTGCTTCATTTTAGTCACATTAGAAAATTATATACATACATACTTATATATATTTAGCAGGCATGTTCTCAATTCCGATTCCGAAAGAAATTACGAAAATGGAATTGATTTGTGTTCTCGAAAACGAAAAACGATAAAGTTAATCGGTTTTAAAAGTTTTATTTTCTTTGCTTGTGGAATGAAAAGTAATTCACAAATTTTATTATTAAATTTTATTATTAAATGCATGTTTATTAATTGTTGATTATATTTATTTTCATTCTCTGATGTATTAACTGATATATAGCACCACTCTCTACCTCACTTATAGAAACTCAGTATTCATAAATAGCGATAATTTACTTCTCTTTCTTTTTTTTTGTATAAATTACGGTCAACATGTAATTTTTTTTTAATGGTGAGGAGGTGGAATGCTTTATGCACCGTCAAACCAACCCTCGCCAGGATGGTGTATCAGACTCCTACTTTGTAGTTTATAAAGTAAAACGCGCTCTCTTCTTCTGCGGGATTTCTTCCCCCGAGACCGCTTTCGCATCACTTCAGAGAGGATTCCTTATAAGCTGGTCATCCATGCCACATCCATGTCCCACTCCTAATTCGAATTGGAATGTCATCATATTGCTCTTCGTTTTAGATTAGTTTGCGTCCAGATCTTTCTTCGTTTACCTTAGCACATTGCCGATGAACATGTAATACTATGTTTACACTTGTACTTATCCAACCAGTTTAGCATATTTTTGTATGGATTTTGTAAGAAGAATGGCACATGTTGCTACATAGTTGCTGAGTTATAAGTACAATAATCTAAATATAGCATAAGTCATATGCGAAAGGAGATGGTTCATCAAATAAAATTATTTTTATTTAAAAGATTAATGCACAGAACTATTAAACAAAACGATATAATATTTTATTTCGAAATCGAAAATAGCGATTCAACAATAGGATCTAGTAAGTAAAGAGTGAAGTACAGCCGTCAATTGAATTTTTGGGGTAATCTTCGGGTGGTTTAAATGTGAAAGTGCACACAAATTGTATACAAAATAAATTTTAATATTTTCTTATTTAGGCGATTTAGTTCTCTAAACCAGTTTTGTGTAAAAAATTTATTAATTACTAAATTATAAACAATTTACTTCCATTTAAATATTTGTAATGCATTATAATTGCATTAATCTCCCCCTATAACGCGGTAGATTGGTTCCGCGTTATACGGGTATTAATGTATACCCCGTATACACACGTGCAAAGGTACATGAAGCTAATTATGAACTGTACAAATCACCGCGTTATATGGGGGAATGCCCGTGTTATATATAATCTGTGTAATATTTATTGCTTCAGCAATTTTTCACATTTTTATTTTTGGGCGCATTCAATAACTCCGACTATTTTTTTTCAAACAATAAATGTATGTTAAACATAGTTATAATTACAGCTAAAAGCTATAGGATAGTTTTGAAATCATTTGAAACAGTTGTTTTCGGAAATTATAACCCAAGTCATTGCATTCGGAATTCAGAATACCAAAGCAAAATTGTGATCGGTTGACTTTTTCTAACGCGGCGAAATTGAGAACATGTCCTATATATATGTACATATTCATTTCCAGTTCAGGAAGTGCCAAACTTCCTTAATTACTTGTTTTATACTTTTTTATAGTATATCCGACCAACTCTTTAGATATTGTAATTTATTATATTCAAATTTGCATGTCTTTCTTCCTATGCGCGTATTACAAACAACTTTCCACTCCCATATAATTTTTTTAGAAACTCTTTGCTATTTATATATATCTATTATATTTATATTTATCCCATATATATTATACTTCATTTTGAAATCTTCATTTTGAATTTTTTTTGCCATTCTTCAGCTTCATAGAGAAAACTTGTGCATCTCATATAATAACGCCATCAATATTATTCTACTCAGAAACCGGATTTTAAAATTTTAATAATATTTCTGCATTTTTAATTTAGTACACAAAGCACATCGTGAGGAGTTGGATGGTACACTATGGCTACTCGAAAAAATACTTTGCTTACTGCCAGAACTGCTAGGGCGACGTTGGCAATGTCACTCACTCAGTCGTATTATGGCGAAATTGCTCCATTTAGGAAATTCGCCGAAGTTGCGACGAGAAGGTGTTCGGTAAGTTTTGAAAATAAAATTTAAACTAAAAAAAATTATTTATTAATATTGCCCTCGTATAATTTTCAGTTACTTCTTACTATGGTACCAAGCGCTCGGTGACAACTCGCCCATGTACGTGCATAATATGTACGCAGATCTTATACCAGGCTTGATTGTACCGCAAAAAGGTGTTAGTATTGGTCTTGATGCAGAATTTAATACCTCGGATTTTTTAAATCATCCAAACATGAAAGTAGAAGGTGGTACGACATCCGTATTTCATGATGCATTCTCTCATCCAGTGCAGAATTCAGAATTATTTGCTTTACTACCACCCTCTTCGAGTGAGAAGACTGCACCACCTGATCCAAGAGATGGTTTGGAGATTTTATTGAATAGTATGGTACAAACCGCAGCTTGCTTACGTTGGCGAGATAGTCGCGCAAATAAAGACCATAAAGCTTTCGCTTTTTTAATGCAACGATTTAAGGAAGTCTTTCTGCCTGTTTTCTGCCCAAATTTTGATTTTACCATGTCTATCTATGATCCACGTTTAGAACTGCCGAATATGCGTACAATTAATAAGAAAGAAGAAGTAATGTCCTCTTGTGTGGTTGTGCTAATTAATTGGATTTCTCGTTTTACCCACGAGCGCTTATTAAATCATCGTTTGGATAATGTACATATGGAAGATGTCGATCATACACGCTTACTCTCCTACCAACAAGGATTAATTGTACGGGATGTACTATACGCTTCACGTGATAACATAAATTTCATACATGAAGTGTATCGACAAGCATTTTTGTTAAACTTTACTTCAAAGCCACAGATTGATGCTATACGCACTGCAATAGCTGTTTATCGTGATTGGATGACGGGTGCTACACCACCAACATTTTTATTAGATCCTGACGATAATTCTAGCGGCGCAGCTGGTAATTCACCAAACGGCGCTGTACAACATCCAAGTAGTTCTGCTGGAAACACACCACGCAGTCAACGTTTACGCACACCATCTTATGTAGGTGCAATAACCAAAGAGAATCTCGTAGTACGCGCTGGCATGCAAAATGTATTGCAAGTATTTGTAACGAATGCTGCTAATGTCTTTCTAGTTAACACTAGTAGTTTAAATATATACTTTCCAACGAAATCTCGTGATCATCGCTCCACACCTTTACATGAGCAGACAGAGGTGTGTAAAAAGGTACTAAACGTTTATCGAACCATGGTTATGAATACCCATATGGAACCTAAAACATGGGAACAACTTCTTTTAGTACTATTACAAGTGACATCAATTGTGCTACATCAGAATCCTAGTGGAAATAAAAGTACTAGTTTGGGTGGTATATTGGGTCAAGCTATTTTTCAAACCCTTATTGTTACCTGGATACGTGGGCATACAAATGTACCAGTAAATGTACAGTTATGGGAAAAATTTTTGACTGTACTAACTTCGCTTACGTATCGGGATGAATTAATAATTGAATGGGATAAAACGATACAGACTCTAACACGAGTATTCTCACGTTACGTTTACGCATTGAACTTGCAGGATTTGCCTTTAGATCGGTTAGCTGAAAGTAAAGGAAAACGTAGGCGTATTGGTAGCGTTTGGCATCAAACAAACTCATCAAATCTTGGTATTGTTGGAGATAAAAATAGCAAAGATCCTTTATTACGTGCGCAGGATTCTTGTAGCAATCGGTCTGATGAAGCAGCACAAAGCGGAGGTTCTAATATACAACAAAACGCATCTAATGCAACTGGAAATTCAATACCATCGCAAAATTCTATACCTGTACGGAACTTGAACGGTATACCACTTACACCGATGTTAAGTCGCAGTTATAGTGAAGGTAGTTTAGCATCAGCTGCTCGTAATTCTCGTATGCGAAAACGTCATAAAATAACTTCACAAAAATCAGTACCAGCCCCAGTTCTTCCAACAAGTGTGGAACATTCTTTAAATGCACTTTTAGCTCAACAACCAATTACAGACGTAAGCGGCAGTACGGAAACATTGAATTCTCAAAAGTTACATACAATATCACTGACGCAAGCAGATATGCGTAGAGCAATGTCTTTAGATTCTTTAGCAAATGTAGAACGACAACGTCGTAAGCAACGTCCAAGACGTTCATCTAACACTGGTGATGACGATATTGATGGTGATGATAATATTAGTGGAGGAGATTCACGGAGTCCTTCACCAACTGCAAGTAGTGGTATCGAAGGTAGCTCTATTAAGGATGCTCAAATGCAGATAGATGTGTTGGCAGTCGACACTGGAAGTTTAGAAGACGGTAATTCAGGCAGTTTTGCTGGATCGGAACGTCGATCCATAATATTAGGTGGAACTGCTACAGGTTGGTTACCAGATTCTACAGCTATTATGTGGAAGCGTATGCTGGGTGCTTTGGGAGATGTAAATCGCATACCCAAAACAGATCTTCATGCGCAGGTTTTTAAACACTTACTCGACATGACTATAAATCTAATAAAAATCAAACAAAACCAAGGTATTTCAACAGACAATCAAAGTACACCGCCACCTCCTACACTTGTACCGCCAATTGGTATAGTAGCACCTTGGTGCTATGGCGCTTTAGAACTGAATAATTCCTTTAAAAAAGGTAAACTATGGGCGCTACAAATTCTTTGTACATTATGCGTGAATGGTTCAGTTGCGGGCATGAATCAGTTACCTATTTTTTATAATGCCCTTCATAAATTGTTGACTGGAGAAGATCGTGATTTAATCTATGCAATTCTAAAGCATGTTGAAGGGCCAAGGTTTTTAAGTTTGCTGTTGCCCGGGCATACCTTATTGTTATTGGATATTGTGCATGCATCTGCAATATTACTAACCTCATTAGAAGCTAATAGATATACACCGCGTGCTGAAGTGTCTGCATTACTAGGCTCTCTATTATGTTACCCAGTAACACTTATACCTAAACCAGTGCTACAACCCTCCCCACAACTGTTTGAGTTGATGGAATGTCCTGATTTGCAAGATCATATTTTAAATATTGTATTGCGTTGCGCGCGACGAGAGCCATCAGCTAAAGCACGCTGTATAGCGCTTTCTCAGTTAGGCCAATGGATTTTATTAAAACTACTGCATCCTATATCGAATAATGGTCATGGACGTGATGGAAGTATATTTCAGCAAGCGATTCCACATCCCAAAAATACACACCTACACCCAGCAACTATGCAATTTAATTCGCGAATACGTGAAGCCGTTCAGGTACTGTTACAAGCACTACAGTTTAAACACCGCACGATTGCTATTGTCGCCGTGGATGCCTTAAAGCTCTGTGCTGAGCGCGGCAAAGAATTTGCTGCCATTGAACGCATGCCGCAAATCATTTTGACAGCAATTTGCAAAGCTCTGGAAATACAAAATGTAACAAACCCCAAGGATTCCGACAAAGTAGTATTAACATCTTTAATGCATTGCCTAGGCGAGTATTGCATGGCGTTTCCACCAGCGTTAATGTTGGCACCTTTAAATGAAAAAGGTGATACACTTATATTAATGGTGCTGCGTGTCTTATTGCAAATTGCTTCAGGCACACCTCGTCATGAACGTGTTAAGCTTACAGCAGATGATGATTTTGATATGCAAATTTCTAACGATGATTTGCAAATAGATGGCAAATTACCTGAAGCTAACTACCAGACTTCTGAAACTATACAAGCATGTATAAGCGCTATTAAATTATGTGCTAAAGCTGTAACAATGCATTTGGTAACACATTTGGGACACTTTCCTATGGGCATCGGTGCCTCTCGCTTAAGTTCAATGGTTGAAGAACAGGATGACGTCAATGCCGGTAGTCTAAATGTAGGCACCATTGAGCGTCGAGACTCAGTTGAACTACCTTCCGTTTTACACGCACAGAACCTGCAACTTTTTATGTTGAATCGTGGTTTAGTGGCTAGTTTCATTGAACTTCCTGCATTAAAATTGCCAGGTGGTGGTGTAACTGCTGGTTTAGTTACTGCTGAAAAACAAGTACGTGTATTATTGCGCGATTTAAATGGCAAAGCTTGTTGGGATGCGTCAATTCTTTATAGTGAGCCACGTAAGGATACAAAAACGCTTACAAATACAGTACCACTTTTAAAAGATAAGTATGATAGCGGCTTTCGCGGATTTGGTCATGTTATGCAGAGACATATGGCTCAACCAATGGACTCATTGGCATCTTCAATGTTGGGATTAGATATGATGCCACATCGTCATACACTAAGGCACCGCCCTGCTGGCGAGTTACCATTAGCAAAAGATATGGCGCCTGATTTGGATCAATTAAATGATGTAAGTAAACTGTAAATATATTTTCTAAAAACTAAATTAATAACAAACTTTTATTATATTACAGCTTCTGGCTTATATTGGTCATACCAGTTCGGAATGTTTGGCCTATCCAACTACACAGCTAAATGCACCAGGTCCCAGTCCATTAGGTAGCAATTTAGAAGCACAAACAATTTCAACAATACTTAACCAACGTGTCATCGAACAAGAGTTTGTCACGAAACAGAATCAACAGGAATTGCAGTCAAATTCTATGAATGCTATGCATAGTTTTGCTACACATTATGATCAACGTTCGGTAAATTCAGCAGAGCATGCCTCGCATACATCAATCGATTCATATAACACCTCAAATAGCTTATCACACCGCGGTGAAATTCCTTTTCAGTATTGTCGTTTATTGTTCTCTCACTTGGGCCTAGCTGGTTGGGAGCGACGTTCACGCACGCACTTACTACAGCGAACGGATAAATTATTGCGTGAATTACGTAATGTAGACTTACAAAAATGTCGTGAAACGCACAAAGTAGCTGTCATCTATGTAGCTTCGGGTCAGGAGGATAAGAATAGCATTTTGCGTAATGCAAGTGGCAGTAGCATGTATGAAATGTTTGTTTCTGCTCTGGGTTGGGAAATTGATTTAGAATCACATAATGGTTTTCTCGGAGGATTACCTCGTCAAGGTTGTGGTGTTTCTGCACCTTACTATGCAACACCTTTCTTAGAAGTAATTTATCATGTAGCTACCCGTATGCCTACAGATTCGCCAGAAGCAATATTACTCAAAACACGACACTTGGGAAACGATGAAGTACACATTGTGTGGAGCGAACATTATCGTGATTATAGACGTGATATCTTACCAACAGAGTTTTGTGATGTACTTATTGTTGTATATCCGTTAAAAAATGGCCTATTTCGTGTAACAGTGAATCGTAAACCAGAAGTACCATGGTTCGGACCATTGGCTAATGAAAGTGTAGTAAGTGGCGCCTGCCTAGCTACTTTAATACGGGCAACAGCTGTAAATGCAAGTCGCGCAAAACGTGCAGCATTACCGCTTTATCAACAATAGTAAGTTTATAGAACGAATCGAAAAATATTACTAATTTATAAAAGTTATAAATCTAAGAAGTTTTGTAACTTAATAGTTCTGTACGAACGAATATTATTCAAACGGTTACTGAAACAAAGGGCTACTGAAACAAAAAGACTAATAGATCAAGTCTTGAGACCAACGATTATAGTTATGTTGGCATCAATTCTGAGTGTGTCTGAAGTTTTTTCGTTTCTACGTAATCTACATTTAGACTAAATTTTGATTATTATTGCATATATTATCAAAAAATGGAATATATATATTTTGGCCCTGTACTCTTTTCAATATCAAAAGTTTCTATTAATAGTAAATAAGATATCATAAGAAATGTATATAATTCAAAATATAATCAATGAATATATTAAAATGTATATTATTATTATTTGGAAAATTTTCATTTTAGTTATGAAGAACGTAATCGTTCTTTGGATAGTGTTTCATCGCGGTATAAAGAGAGTACTACTTTTGAAGATTTTGTGAGTCGTATATATAATCCCATTCCGATAAACTCTTCATATGCTAACTTACGTGACACAGGGGCTACAGCACCTTTAGCAGCTGCACTAATAGATCATCATCGTTCTTCAGTTAAAGGTAAATATAAAAAAAAATGTATCTATTTCATTATAAAGAATAAATTTCTAATTCATGTATTTTTTTTTTTTTAAATTTATTAAAGGCTGGGTACAAGCATCGATTGATACCAATTTGAAAGAAATTCCGCTTGGCATTGCACCATCTGCATCTGCAACAACAACAGCTGCTATGGAGGCAAATTCAAATTCGCCACGTGGTACACGTAAATTGGGCTCCACTTTTAAAAGTGCACCAAAAAAGACGTCAGTGCATTCAACCGGCACACCACCAGAAAGTCCAACTCTCCCGTTACGTAAATTTAAATAATATTTAATATTTTCCAGTTAAATATTAAAATAATTGAAGCAGCTCCTAAGCCCTCATACTTTTTGATCTTTGAGGCTTAAAATGCAAAACATAATTTTGGAACTCTCAACGAAACTCATTCCTGTAAATGTTATAAATTCTTGCTGATCTTAAGAAAATGTTAAAAATGCGCATTTAACTAAACTTACGAAATATTGTACAAACGAATTTGTTTATAGATACGATAACGTTGGTTTTAATTTCGAAAAAAATTGCAACGAAGGACTTTAGCTGAAAGTATTTTTTTACGTCAGACAAGCGCATTTGTACGCATTTTATTTATAAATTTTTTACGTATAACGAAAAAGTATTTATTTATTTTTGTAATTTTTTATGTGCTTTTATGAATAATTCTAATTATTTTAAATTATTTCCCAATTTAGATATATCTATTTATTATACTGTATTACATATATTATAAATATTAAATTTTATGAATTTGTTTATTTAATGTGCAAATTTTATTCTTTACTGTAATTTATTAATTTAATTCATATATATATTTAAATAATGTTTATATGCATGAAAAAATCTGTGTCCAATATTTTTGAAATTTATTATATGTAATTATATTGTTAATTTTTATGGCTATTATTTAATACAAAAAATTATAATGTTTTTTTGGTTGTTCACTACTTAAAAAGTATTTTCTTATTTATATAAATAACATTTTAAGTGGTTGACCTTTATATACATATATTTGTTGTTTTTACTATTTTATTTATTTACTAATTTTTATAATTATTGTTTATATTTTCGTATGTGTACTAAAAACGCATTAAAATAGTATATAGTGGCTTTAAGTTAACAAAAAAACAACGTTTCAAAAATTAAAATATTTTAAAAATATTAAAAGCATTATTCAAATTTAAAAAAAATATCAGTTGTAAAATATTAAAAAAAATATAGTATTAAAGTATTCAAAATATGAGATCGTTAAGTATTACATTTTTTTATAATAAGAATGCTTAAAACAATCGCTTTTACATTATATAAAGATATGTTAAAATATACAATATAAAATTATTTAACACGAATAATTAATTATATTAGGAAAAGCAACTAATTTTAAAATTTATATTCAAAAGAGAAATAACAAAATTATTATTTAAAAATTATTTTTAATATTTTTCTATTAAAAATTGTTAGTATAAATTAAATAATTAAAATATATATAATTTTAAAACAACAACAAAATCGCTCAGTTTAATTTAGTATATGCAATAATATAATTATACTTATACCAATTATGTGTATCTCTTATAGATGCATAAATAAAGAAAAATTTAATAAAGATCAAAAGTAAATAATATATTATTCTATAATTATTATAATTAAAATATATATTTATTTATAGTTATTATAACTAAAAAAAATTATATTCATTTTTAATAATAATAATTACAATTCATATTTATTTATAATAACTATATTCAAGAATAAATTTATTTATAATAATTGTGACTATAATATATATTTATTTATAATACATAATTATAATTATAAGTGCAATATATATTTATTTTAAATAATTATAACTAAAATATATATTTATTTATAATAATTATAGTTAAAAAATATAATTATTTATTACAATTAAAGAAGTGTAATAAAATTTTTAAATATTATTATTAATATTTATTCTACAACTTATACGAAATTTTAATATTCACGTCAAACTAACAAATAAAAAATTGAAAATATTGTAAAATATTAATAATATTTTTTGTAACAAAAAAATCACTAATAAAATTTCCATTTTTTTAAATTTCAAAATTTTCATAAATTGTAAATTTTATTTATAATTTAAATACTAGACCCCAAAAAACTAATTACTTGTAACAAAACCAAAAACATCTATTCAATTTCACTATTAAAAAATTATTTATCAGTTAATAGAAAATTGTTTATAAACAATAATTGACTAAACAATCATTTTATTTGTTGCATATTTTATTAATTACTTAAATCAAGATTATCTCTTAGTATTTTTAAGTTGATAAAATAATATCCTTAATATACTAAACATGGTACTAAACATTATTAATCTAGTCGGGCTACGTGATTTTTAAATTGGACAGAACTTAAGGGATTTAAAAGTACCACAGTTGGAAGAACCAGTTACACTACAATAATTTTAAGTATAAGTTATAAAAAAAAGTATTAACAGATATAGCATAAAAATTTTTATAATCCTACAAATGATATTCATCACACAACCTTATTGTAATACATAAATTATGGTAAAAAAGTTATTCGATCTATAGGACCATATATTTTTTTGACTCCAGTTTAGCTAAAATAGTATAATGATTTATGATATAATTTTTTTTAAGATCACAGAGTACATTTTAAGAAAATGTTTTGAAAAAGCTAGAGATGTCAAAAAAACAAAAAGTTACCGTGAGAATATTAAGGAGTTCTATAAGTTTTGGAATACTTGCCAGTGGTTTTCAGATTTCATTTAATCATATAAACCGGTCACCGAATGATGGATTTTAAATTGAGAATAAGGTTCAGATCACTATACTATGCTTATACAACTTGTTGGGAACGAAGTCCCCAAAATACCTACAGTAGTTTAATTGCTTTCTATATGTTTTTGTTATAACAAGAGAAAACTACCAGTTACCGTATATTGTTTCGAATTTTAAACGTACTGATTATTATTGAGAACACGACTAGGATTTTCGATTCTAAATATTATTCAAAGCAATGTGATGAAGCTACATAGTTTATTAGGGTCTAAACCAGAGATTGATTCTGCTAGCTTCTTTGACGCCATTACTTAAGATTGTACTATACCCTGGGTACATACCTTTTTCCAATAACCTTTCCTTACTTAAATATACACCTCTAAAAATTCAACTTTAATGAAAATATAGATTTTCGAGTGATTTCCTTACATTATAACATAATCCTGGACAGCTGTTGGTATTGATTGAACTAGAATAGTAAGAATTTATAGAAGTTTACCATTTATAAAAAGATACTCTTAATAAGCACACCCTTAAGTGTACATATACAAAAAAATATCTATTTATATTAATTCTAGTAGCACTTTAGGCTAACCTAGTGCGATATACCGTATGTCATAAAATATCTAAGTTAATTACACTGCAGTTTATTCCAATGTGTCTCTCATGTCGAATTGTCTTTTTTGAGTGCTTTTCTGTTTGTAGCCAAAAACTCTAAAATTTTATGTTACCATAATATAGCACGAAAAGCCAACATTGCACAGGTATTTTCCACAAGGAAAATAGTTTTGACCCACCTGAAACACATATGCGGTCATTGCTATTGAATTTCATTAACGTTACAGATGGCGTGTGTTCTGCACGTTCTCCCTAGACGAATTCGGGCACACATGGCACATTATGCTTAGTTTTTCTATATTTAGTATGAGCAAACAAATTAGCTAGTTTGCAAAGAAGCGAGGGTAGTTTTGGAATAGATCGTTAAAGGTTAATTTCCGGTTGAAGCATTTTACATAAAAGAACTTAACAGTAAAAAATGAAGTGTATTATACAAAATTCGTTATGAAAATTAGATTGAATATATAAAAATAATCTTATTGATCTTAATCATTTTAATATACAAACGAATATTGTATCTAGTTATACTGTTATTATATTATTACTATTATATATTAAAAGAACAAATTTAGATTAGATTAAATTTAGATTACAGAATTTCAGAATGAGTTCATATTAAGTTGATTGATGTGATATTTAGGTATCTATACATATAGGAAGACAAAAGGAATTACTTAGGTTGGGATTGGTTAATCTAGCTAGCTGTTCCCAGCGGTGACAGATTGAATCAAACCTCTTTGTACATTGATGTAGTAGACTTTTATTGAAATTAAAGAAGTACTTGAAAATTTAATTCGTAGAGGAATTTTTTTAAAAGATTTCTTAAAGCGTGTTTTTTACACCAAATAATAAAAAGGATTTCAGTCCAGATCATGTGTGTCGTAATTCTAATATTTTACGCACAGTGCTATCAGGACAGTCAAAGAAGTGCTTAGATATCTATTCATTATACTCAATTAAAAGTTTTACCTATTAAAACACCATTACAACATATTTTTACAAAGCAACATAAAGAGTTCACGCAGAGGTCGTATAAGTCCCAACAGGAACTCAACTCGTTTTATATATATTTTTAGTAAAATAATAGCAAACTATCGCATATTATTCTGAGCTTCAAACGAACTTTTAATTATTGCTCTTTTATTCTGAATTTTATTCCAAAGCAAAGAGAAAGATCCACACAGAAACTGCATTATAGTCATTCAATCAAATACATAGTAGGTACATATATATATATTTAGATTTAATATATACAGTATTTAGATTTCAACATCTGATGAAGTTGAAACTTTTACAGCAGTTGCTTAAAATTTGGCAGATATACAAAATATAATTGATTTTGTTCTGGCGTTGCCATTTGTTGGAAAGTCAAGTAATTATCAGTCCACCTAGTATTATTGAGAACAACACTAAGAATTTGGAATTTAAAAATCATGAACTCTGGAATCAATGGGTGTTGATATAAAACTAAGAACTTACAACATTATAAGTTCGGTTTTAATAGGAGGAATAGAGCTTGTATGTATAATGTGTCTGAAGAAACACTTTAAATTAAGATTAAGCGACCTACCTGGATTTTAGAAGTCATTTTTACACAAGATGATTTTATTGAGGGCGTGGATGATTGTTAAAGGTGCGTTTACGTATTGTATATTTAATAAAAAGGTTGTTAAATTCAGTACCCACAAAATGATTTTCCTTCAATTATAGTTAAACTAACATAATAAAAAAAACATATAGGTAAGTAAAATAACTGAAACATTAATCTACTTTCGCTTAAGTTTAATAGATTAAAATTATTAAATAAAACACTATTAAACTATAGTACATACCAAAGGCGATAAATGAATGCATTTGAAAAAAATAGACTGTAGAGTATATATGGTGGATGGTTACTAAAATTGAATATAACTTAGAATTCATCACAATGCTTTATGCACTCTATATCGATTTTAAGACAGCCTTTAAATCGGTAAAAAAGAACTCAATGTGGAAAGTCTAAAATACTTTATTGTATGAAAGAACTACGAAGACAAATGGACTTTATGGTATAACTGAAAATTGATGATAACATTAAATTATAAGTACTCCCATTCGAATAACACCTTTTCCAGAATAATGGAACCACAGTAGTTCCAAAAAATCAGAATAAAATATTAAAAATATATTAAATATAAGTCGTAAACTGTTCCCATGGATATTCATAATTCAATTTCCAAACACTAAAAAGTGATTTGCGCTAGACCTATAGTCAAACATATAGAGACTTGCTTCAACTGATTAAACTACTATTCAATCGAATACTAAAGACTATAATCGGATAAATACCTACATAACGATAAAGTTAGTAGAACATATAAAAAGCTGGAAGTACATATATATAGCAATGATATAATCTTATATGCATATGTATCTGTATTTCCAAACGTCAACTATTTTCATAAATTAATAGACACAGAGTCTACTATTTTTAAAATTAATATGAATACTTAAATAACAAACGAATAAAAGGTCCTTTGAAGAAATACTAAACGACTTTTTTGTTTATTTGCGTCTTGTATTTATACATAATTTTTATGTATGTATACGTCGACGTCGTAATCGACACACTGCCCACACGTTACATTGCTGCTAAGATTCGCTGCCAGCGTCGTCGTCGACTTAAGCTGCCATGGAACCAGAAAAACGCGTAAACAAACAACCGTCAATTTGAGAAATTGCTTGCTTGATACTCGTACTCGTTGCTGTTAGAACTTAAGTTTTTAGTTTTCAACGAGTTCTCGTCGCGTTCAAAACTTAACGGAATAATTGAAAATACATATAATAGTTTAATTTGGAAATATTAAAAAAAAAGAAACAAAATAATTAATCATGAGAACACAAGTGTTGACATTTTGTGTAGCAATTTTGCTAATTATTACTATTTTATAAATTTAAATTTTATACATATATAAAAAATTAAAATGTACTAACAAAAATGTAGTCTTATTCAATTAATTTAAAATTAAAAAAGTTCCAAATTAATATTTTTTATCTAAATATGTACTAACATAAATATAGTTTTATTTAATATGATTAATGGTTAATATAATAAAAATTAAAAAATAAATTTTTTCTACATCTATATTTTTCGCTTTAAATATATATTAACTAAAATGTTAATTTATTAAATTAATTTAATTTGATTTTTAAAAAAACCACAAAATAATAAATTTGCGCTATTAATGCTTCTCGCTTAAATAAATACTAACCACAGCGTTTATATATTAAATTAATTAAATTCAATACATAAAATAAATTAATAATAATACTAAAAAAATGTTATATATATTCTGATTATAATTTAAAAAAAAATAATAAAATTAGAAAAAAATTGCACAAAAAATCATTAAAAAAAAATTAAATAAAATTAAATTAAAAACAAAAAAAAAAAGAAGTAAAAAAATAAAAATAAAATAAAAAAGAATGAAAAAAATATAAAATCTTTAAAATTTTATATTATAGTATTTCTGGTTTAAAAATGTATACACTCGAAAAATGTAATTATTTATAATACATAATAAATCTAACAAAATAAAAGTAAATAATATAAATAAAACAAATAAAAAGAAGAAAAAAATGTGAAAAAAAATTGTATTTAAATATTAAATAAAATAAATAATTAAAAATGAATGCATTTTAGTAAATACATATATACAAAAAATAGCATAAATAAAATAATATGTAAAAATTATTATATATAAAATAGTAACATATAAAAATTAAAAAAATTAAAAAAATTAATTAAACTAATAATAATTTTTGAAAAATGAAATCACGCAAAAGCATTGGCGCTAATGCAGGATTCGAAATGCTAAGCGAAGAGGCAAAACAAACTTTGAAAAAATATGAACGTAAGTAATTAATTAAATTAAAAAAATTTAAATGATTTAAATGAATCATTTATTTAAATTAATATTACTAAATATTTATCATTTATTATATTCATTTTTGTGAAATCTTAAAAATAATACTAATAGATTCTCAATACTGTATATATATGACTAATAGTTTAGGAGTACATAGTACATGATAAGTACAAATATGTACTATATACTATAAAAATGTCATGACTTCATACCTAGATTGGTGGTAGTTTGAAACAGTGGTCAAGAACTGTCGCTTACAAAAGAATGTCGACGTCAATTGAGCACTATTGATTTATGGGTCCACCTCGAGCTTTAACCTAAGTTAAATTCAACAATCCTACCTATCATTCTTACTTCTATTTTACACCATATTACTCTTTCGATCCCATCTTACTAGACACTACCATATTTAATCACTCTTTTTTGCACTTACTTTCAAGTCAGCATGCTTGTTAAACCATTTGGTTTTCCAGATGAAGTTGAGAACATCTGATAAGTTTGCTTTCGTTATCTCTTCCAGGCCTTTGAAAAGTGATCCCCAAGACATTGAAGTCGCTTTGTCTGCAGTCCTTGACAGAGACACAGGAAGCGCTTGATGGATTCTACCTCATCCTCATCCTTATAAATTACTAACTGAAAATGCTAAACGAATTATAACTTCTAAGCCTCTTAAGAGAGCGCATAAGCAGAGTCGAACTGATTTAATATTATTATATCAAATGTAAGATATTTGGAAATTACTCACAGGACAGGTTCATCCCAATCTGTAATAAATAATTATATTTAAAATGTGTTATGTAGCCAAAAATAAAATACATTTGTAATTAGTCAAAAAAAATGGTGATCATATAGTGATTGTTTAAATAGCCAAACGTGTAACTTTTCTGCAATATATACTTTATTATAAGATGTACCAGATCACATATAAACATACGTCATTAATGTAAGTTAGGGTAGGTTAGGTTGGCGTGGCGGCCTTGTTTACCATTAAAGCCCACTTGATCACAAATAATGGCCCGTTGTGGTATCACAGAAAAAAGCGATGTTTGTATATAGACAAGGTGATCAGTATACGACCAACGCCCAAAAATAGGCAATGACTCCTTCATTAGGTGAAGGAAAACCAACCCGACAGTTCTATGAATCTGGCCAGGTCCCTCACGTTATAGGATGACAGCTCAGTCAAAGGGGTCCCCAAGATTTTTGATCTTCTTCTGGCTAAAGATGGGCAAATTACACTCTATAATGTAAGTAATTTATTTTACCCAAATATTTGTTTTAAGCAATAATTCAAAATCGTAGGTTCAAAATAACCATTTTTATGCTAATGTATCGTATATATGCTAGGCTTAAGTAACAGTTTGTGTCAGACTACATGTAGAGCACATATAGGGGTCTGTTGCGTTATCGTCTATAACCCTCCTACTAATGATTTGATTTTTTAGAGCGTCTCTGTGATACGCATATTCTTATATCATGAAGTATTTACCCTAAATATCGTTTGTGTCAGACTACATGTAGAGCACATATAGGTCTGTTGCGTTACCCTAGATAACCCTACTAATGATAACGTACCCAGTCTCTGTGATACGCATATTCTTATATCATGAAGTATTTGCTCTAAATATCGTATATAACAATCGTTTTATATCAAGCAGTATTTGCCCTAAATATGGTATATTACAATTGTATTATATACAATGTGCTGATTATTTTTTAAAAATGAAGTTTTTTTTTATTTTTTAAAATTTAAATAAAAAATTCTAAATAAAAAAATAAAAATCATTTTAAATAAAATCCATATATGTATGTATGTATATACGTAACATATAGACTCGCAGTTTTGGAGATAGAAAAAAACTATAAACCAAAAATTATAGAGCCGTAAAGCGCTCGTTAATTTAATTTTTCTTATTTTTCCAACTAGTTTCAATGCAGTTGGTAAGGGGGGAGTGTGTAATTTAATATCATTCACTGTGTGCTGGTTGCGGCACGCGTATGACTTCATCTTGCCTCTACGATTTGTAAAGGTTGAGCACAAGCCGCCAAAACAAAAGCACTGCATTGGTACGAATGAAGTAATCGGGAGTCCAAAGCAATTGCAACAACAAAAGCAATGCATAATATTATTTATGACGTGCATTCATATGTGTGTAGATTTTTCTATATATTATGTTGGATTAAATGCGATTTCATAGTTTTATGCTTAAATATTTCCAATTTATAATTTATAAAATTGTGATATACAATTTAAAATTAATAAAATTTTTAATTTTATTTTTAGAAATTCAATCATTACAAATTTACGACAGCGAGAATTTTAAACTTTAATTCAAAGCCTTTTGTTTACATAAATACGTGTTTCTTTTCTTTACTAACAGTTGTTTGTTGTTGTTGTTTGTTTGTTTTTGTTGTTGTTGTTGTTATATGGAAGTTTAAGCTTAGGTTCTGTAAATCATTTATGTTAATTGTTCGTGATATGCTGCGCCTATGAATATAATTGCTGGCTTTAATTCGTCCGCTAACTTGGACTAGGTAAATTTTATCTCAGATAGGCGAATTACATACCATGAGCAACAATAATAACAACAACAAAACGATTATGGAGCTATCTTGGACTAGGTAAATTTTATCTCAGATAGGCGAATTCCATACCATGAGCAACATTAACAGCACCAACAACAACAACAAAACGACTATGGCACAGTAATACGACTCGATGTTTATGGGTTTAGTTCTTTAACCAAGTTAAGATTGCTGTCTTATTCACAATCCTGTATAATCCATATTGTGCGATTCGAACGTAGAAAATATATAATTATATTTTCATTAAGTTTCGTGGAGAAACAGACTTAATGCTTACAATAAAAATGTTATTACTTTGGCCTATAGTAACCTATTGGATCAAGACTTTTAATATTCCAAGTGATTCTACTCGAATTAATATGTTTCATTTACAAGAATAATGTAAACTCAGCAGGACTCGAGTTTGATTCCTGATACCTGCAGTCTCAAAAAATTATATACAAATAATTAAATACAATAATTATTTCCAAGGCCACTGATGATGGGTATTTAGCAATACTTGAAACAGCTGTCTGATCAGCCTAAAATTCCATTAATTAAAATAATATAAAATGAATTTTTGTTGTTATAGTTCACTACTGTTCGAAAACATCTTTACAAGAAAATAAAATCTATATAAATATACACCCACTTTATAAATATTCTTATATAATTATATATATACATATATATGTATATGTATGTATGTATTATTATATAAATACATATGTATATATATATGTACTACATATGTATATTGAAATATATTAAATTATAAAGATTTGATTGAAAATGAAATAATATCTATTGAAATAATATCTAAATAATATCTATAATATCTATATATACTAATATATATTAGTATATCTAATATACTACCACATTATAAACATTATTATATATATAATATATATATAATATATATAATATATATTATATATATATAATATATATATAATATATATATATAATATATATTATATATATTATATTATATATTATTATATGTATTATTATATACCTATAATATTATATATTATATGTATTATATAAATATAATATAATAATAAATATAATATATATATATTATATTATATATTATTATATATATTATATACATATTGTTATATGTTATATGTATTATATAAATATGTATATTAAATTATATTAAATTATAAAGATTTGATTGCCACTATTAACAATTGGTTTTATTGATAGTAGTTGGGCACATCTGCCAAATGATAAAAATTTTGCTATCAAGTAGTTTAAGGAATTTAAGAGGTTTGTACCGTATATTATTATTCAGGTCGATAAGAAATACAGATGAGTGCAGAATATTAGGGATAAGATAATAACTAAGGGCCAAGAATTTAAGAGGTTTGTATCTCATATTATTAGACAGGTCGATGAAAAATAAAAATGGGTGAAGAATATCAGGGGTAGGATAATCACTCATTGTAAAATATGTTTTCGTTACGAATACCATTTTTTTCTTTCATTTTCTCTTATTTTTATTTCAACAAAAATAATCGAAGGCATTTTTTTTACAAGGTAGCACGGAACAGTTAATTTCCTACTACATAACCAATTTTACCCACATGTTTACACTTAACTTATGTTTCATTTCGAGTAGCAAAACATAGGTCTTCGAATTGTTCTAATAGATAATAGAAATATAAATTATTTATAATTTTTATACACTATTTATAGTTTGATTTTATGCAACTCTGGCTTAAGTAGCTTTTGCGAACTCGAAAAAAAAATATAAAAATAACTGTTGATTGTAATTTGTTGTTCTGTCAGTTTATAGAAAGCTTAGTGATTTTCGCTAAAATTAATTAAATTTTTAAAAGAATTTTTTTTTGCTAAACAATAAATTCGTTTTTAAAGTTCATAAAAAAACTTTCTAAAATGAATTATATAATAACTGAACTTGGACTTGAAATTATGGGATTCCAATTTTTTGATATTGATGGAGAACATTGCGATATCAATCTTCGCATTAATGATTGTCATTCATCACCTTCGAATAGTGGTCGAAATATGTTAGATATGTTGGATCTAGAACGAGACGTAGATGGCAAAATTGTTGTCAAGAAAAATAGTGAAAATAAAAAAATAGTGAATGAAGAAAATACATCCAAAAAGGCTGAAAAGGAAAATTATGATAGTAATTTAAACTCACAAAATGCTGATAAGGCTAACTCTAGCATAGATACAGATCTAGAAAAGGACGAATATGGCAAAATTATTGTCAAGAAAAATAATACGACAGTTAAAGATAATATATCCAAAAAGGCTGAAAAGGAAAACAAAGATTGTCCATTAAGGTCACAAAATGTAAATCAAGTCATCTGTGAGAATGAACGAAATAATGTTCAAGTGACTAGCGAAACAGCTGTAATTTTACAACAGAAATC